TCTTTGGCGGCCTCAGTCAGAGGATGGGAGATATGGCGCTGTGTATCATCGCCGTCATCATTGACATCGCGGTTCAGGAAGGGCTCAGCAAGGCGCGCAATGATGTGCGCGATCAGGAGTATATCATGGGAGATATACAACAGAGCTTCCTTACTGCGTATTCCCAACCAATCGAGTCGTTGGCTAGCGACATCTGCAAGCACGTCAAAACTCTTTACACCCAGCTGACAATGGAGCCGACGTTCCTTGTGCATCCGAAGTGCCCAACGACGGACTGTCAAATGGTGTTCTACAACATCACTACCCAGGGAGACTTCTCTTTCGTTCCGCCTACTTGCCCCTCATGTCATACTGTTCTGAGGGCGTCCGGGGAGTGGAAGGAGAGAAGGGTGCATCACCTCCCACGCCGAACAATCGCAGACGAGCTGCAACATGTCTTCTCGATGCCTCATACCGAGCGGCTGATCGATAATCGAAGAATGATGCGACAAGTAGTCAAGGAGAGGGATGAGAGGTACATGCCAGAGTTTGCAGCCCGTGCTGGTCGAGTCCTTTGCCACCAGCTCGACGGTGCAGCGTACAGTGGTGATACCCCGCAGCGAGAAGAAGACTCTCTTCTGATCACTATCAACTTCTCGATCGATTACTCCAGCCCATCCAAGTCTCTCCAAGGGCAACATAAATCAGTTGGGGTCATCATGGGTCAGGTCGCTGAGCTTCCCAATGCGTATCGCACCAAGTTCCACTATAACTTGATGCTGGGGATGACGCCTGTTCCAAGAGAGCCTCCTTCCCGTCTCCTCTACCGTGTCTTGCTCGGTTTTGGGATGGAGCTACTTGCTGGCTGTACCGATGGCCTGTGGATCAAGACTCCGAAGTACCCAGCTGGTCGCAAGATATACCTTCGTGTTGGAGCCATTAGCTGCGACCTCCCTGCCTCTGTGGCTGTCACTGGCCTCCCTCACTACAGATGCAAGAAGGACCTCTGCCCGAAGTGCACTGTGTCTCACGAGCAGATGCACTTGATACAGTCGTTCCCGCGAAGGTCTGGCGTCGAGCACACACGCACAATGCTTCGCCAAATGGCGGAATTTCTCCAAGAGGTCAAGGAGCTTCCTCATAAATCTACATCAAGCTGGATCTCTCAACACGCTGGCCAAGTCCTCCGTGCGCAAAAGAAGGCTGTTGAGGATCTTCACAAAAGCATATTCCAGACCCCTGGACATCTTTCCGTCTTCGACCTTCTTCCCCATTTCGACAAGGTCCTCCACATGACTGGCGATCCCATGCACAACACCCTCGAAGGTATACTACCTTATTTTGCCAGGCGTGTCCTGATGAAGGGGCGATTCTGCGCAGAAGTGGAAAAGCAACGGCGGATTATAACAGATGACTATTTGAAGGGTGTCAGGCCTGAGTTTTTTGAGGAGGAGGACAGTGAAGACGAAGAGGACGAAGAAGGCGGTGAAGGCGATGAAGGTCAAGGCGACGGGGGCCAGAAGGGCAAAATTTCTCCCGGCGACGGTCCACCTATCATCCGCAAGGACCGGCAAATTCGTCTCGAAGAAATGATGGCGCAGGTCATTGTACCCTCTTATCTACCCCAGCTTGGGAAGAAGTTTTTTACCCAGCAAGCAAAGCCATCTGCCGCACAATGGCGTACCTTCGGCGAGATTGTCGGGCCTTTGGTCTTTCCTTGGTTATGGGCAGAGTCTCGGTCAACATCGGATGCTTTACCGGAGCATGAGTTGGTCGCTGCCCTCAAGCTTTTTGCCATCATCAAACGGATATTCTTGTCAAGCATATCCGAGACCCAGATCAAGCGCCTGAAGACTCTAATCAGTGAATTCAAAGAGATTGTCCTTGAGCACCACCCGCTACTCCCCTATTCTACAACCAACTTCCACGAAATCGACCATACCCCCGAGGAGATCCTGGAGCACGGCCCAATCTACGGATGGTGGCTCATGGCTCTTGAGCGCTTGAACGGGCGGGTCAAGAAGATCAATACCAGTGGATGTGATGTCTATCAAGAGCAAGTCCTGCAATTTCGCCCGCTTCTTCGACAGAGGTCTCTACTCTCAGACATTCATCAACAGTATCTGGACCAAGATCTATGCCAAGAGAGTGGCGTCCCCAAAGATGAAGCCGGTCGGGAAGAGGGTAGGAATAGCCATAAGAGGACTATCTTCAGTGCCCTCATGTCCCACAGCGTTATCTCTGAGGATCCGGATGACGCAGAAGATCTAGCTAATCTTCGTCTGTACGACATCAGCGGTCTGGACCAAGACTTCTCTATAGACTTGCTCTCGACTGGCAAAGTGACACCCGTATCCTCTCAAGATCAAATCATCGGACTCTTCTACCAGTTGTCCAAAATACCCAAGCCCGATATTCCGGACGAGTTCCAATTTCATCACGAAATAACTGTACGGGGTCAAACGTTTTGCCCCGTAGATCCGACCTTCAAGATTGGACTTACACCAGTCACTCTACCCGAGATCATCTGTCGGAGTAACTCCCGTTCATTCATCGACATCCGGAGCCCTATGATCCGCTTTGCTGATGACCATCGACCCGAACTGGGCGCCAAAGCTATCATATGGGCAATAGTGTCTCGGACTTGTCAAAGTCCGGAAGATGGCTCTGTTGGCTCCAGAACTTTGTGGGCCTGCATTCGGCTGTTTGTTCGTTTGCAACCACCGCCTTCGGCCTTCCAATACGGTCTCGAGTGAGTTTATGTCTTGGATGCGTTCAATTGCTGATGGCGAATGCAAGGGAAATGTTGGACATCGAGACGCTGTCGGCCACTAAGCTCTCGCCTTTGAAACTTTACCAAATCAATGCTCGAACCATCTCAACCCTCAGCCCAATCGCTCTTCTCAAGGTCCCATGCGCGCTTCCGTCTGGTGAAACGTCCATGCTTGCCAGTACGCCCGTGACCAGAGTATGCCTTCCTGAGCTCAATCGACCCCGTTCTGAGCTGACAACAAGCAGCATATATAACCAAATGGCATCTTATCTATGAAGTGGGGAATGCGAATGGCGTGACCAAAAGCGACTGTAATATGTCTGGTAATTAGCAAGTGATATATAAGATACGTAATGGAGAGATATGGCGGGCTCTACAACTTCTCCGGCTGTTTCCCCTTCTTTACCGCCTCCTCCTGCACGAATCTGCTGAGGATGTCTACACACTCATCAAGAGAGCTCTTCTCCTCCTCCTCAGTCCAGGGATACGTCCCCGGACCCTCCTTGGCCATCATGTCGAGACACCACGAGTACTGGTATCGGAAGAACTTGAGGGCTGGAGTCAACAGATTTTTCAGCGGTGCAAGGCATCGTCCTTCTCCGAACATGTCTTTAGAGACCCCCTTCTGTGCCAGGAACTCGGATCGTTTGGCATCGGATTCGGGCAATCGACCAAACAGAGCGTTGTAGAGATGCCCATCAGGCGTGTCGAAGGTACCGCCCTGAGTGTGATGGCGGAGTAGGACGTAGATGAGGACCCAGAGGAAAGACTCCAAACCGCCAATTGTGGATTGGGTGGCGGGGAAGAAGTGGACATCTTCATACTTTTGATTTGCCATGAAGCACAGTGATTCCTGCAAACGGAGTCAGTTGGGTCAGGATAGCAAAGCGAGCGAAGAAACTGACCGAGAAGAGGCCCAAGTCGTCGCCGTCATCTACGTCTTCCTCTTCTTTCTCGCCACCGAGATCATAAGCGATCAACATGCCACAGAGCCCTTCCTCCGCATCACCAATCAGACAATCGATATCGTACTTGATCGGGACAAGCTCTGCGGTATCCACGTTGTAATCATATAGCTTGAAATCTCGTGTCGGACCGACGGTGATGTTCTTGGCACCGATTTGCTTGTGAGTCCATCCGACTCGATAGACGTTGCGAAACCCTGCGAAGCGCACTGTCAGTACGGAGTCTAGAGCACCCACAATATGGACTCACCATAGATGGCACCGAGGACGGCTTTCACGAGGTCGAGTGGACCATGCGCCGCATAGACATCCGCCAGACTGATGCGGGAGCTTGCACCAGCTTGATTGGTATCATCTGCGACCTCTCTCATCTGCGCCAATACGTCAGCCTGACCCAGACGCTACTCATACGAGCACATCACTCACATACAGATCCTTGTGGCGTTTCTGGTAGCCAGACCCTAATACGTGCCGTAAGGAGACTCACCTTTTCCTCTGGTTGTGCCCCAATCCTCTCAGGCAGACTTTTCCGGGCATCTTCATACTTTCTGACGTCTTTCGACCCAGTAGGATGAAGAACATAGGATTGAGTGCGACGAGACCAAAAATTACCTTCCCGGTAAGACCGAATCCTCTCCACGCCTCGCCACGCCATGGACACGTATGAAAAGGTCTGAAGATACATATCTCCGATCTCATCAGCAAAGAAGCGGATGCGCCTGTTGCAGCCATGGTCGTCGATGGGAGCGCAGTACATGCCACGAGGAGTGCCCGGAAGCGTTCGTACTCGCCGTCGTTCTTGAGGTTGTGCAAGTGCGTGAGTTGAATTCCCCCGGCATCCAAATCCGCAATAGCCGCCTTTATTGTGCCGTCCTCGATGGATAAGACAATAGAGCGTATGGCGACTCGATTCGGCTGGGCGTCAACGGTGGTTCGACCGGTGAGAGAGGACTTGAAGATCGCACGATATATATTGCGATTGTCGATATCGGCATAGGTGATGAGGTGTGATTGGTCGACGTGATGGTCAACCTTGACGCTCTGAGTACTGTCGTCGAAGAGCGAAGTGTCGTTGAGCTTGCACCCCACCAAGGCGGGTCTGGCAATCATGTCAGAGCTATGCTCCGGAGGCCCCATGCTCTTGTTATACACCGTCCATCGGAATTGCTTTGTGAACAGGAAATCGAGCGCGCAATACTCGACTTCCTTGTCCGACTTTTCGAAAGCCTCTCGTGCTACGTCCAAAGTCGAGTTCAGAAAGCTGGCGACGGGCTGATAGTATTCTCCGACAAAACCCGTATCTGGCCATACAGGACCAGTGGGAGTGGCGCAACCGTATGGCACGTACTTTGACAGATGGTACTCGAGTCGAACCGAGTCGACTTCGAGGGGCAGGTCCAGGAAAGCCCGCGGTACACCATCAGAGTAGCGGTCTGGTAAAGACTCGCTGTAGTCGGAAGAGTGGCTAGAGTCAGAGGCGGAGGCGTTAGAGGATGTGTCTTCCGACATGTCTGGCGAGAGGGGACGGGAGATGGGGATGCAGAAGAGGCATAAAGAGTGATGATGAGATGTTGTGCGGAAGGCAGAATAATGACGCATAACAATTCAAATCAGCCCCCCAATTACCCTACTCGAGTACTGCATTGTTTGTGCCCGATAAGATAACGCGACAGACGGACAAATGGGGCGAGCAAAGTTCTCTAACCGTCACAGGCATGCATGGGGTGTAATCAATCATCTCTAAATGAAGGAGGGGCTCGAGAGAACACTCTATAACCGCGTGGCCTTTACAACAACCGGGATCATCTCCCCAGTTTCTAGTCTGTACGGCTGATGACCAACCACAGCCAAAAAGTTCCTAAAGATTGCAGTGTGCCCCGTGATCGAGATATCTACCATCTCTTATCAGCTCTCATATCGCGTCAAGCCGAATAGCGCTAAGACTCACAAGTCTCCTCAGGACCTTCCGCGCCGAATATCCGGTCCAAGTCTCGTCTAGCTCTGAGCTGCATGTGTTCCTCCGTCTCTCGGTCTTCTGCTTTCCACAGGTCATCTTGTTCTGAGAATCCAGGCTCGATCTTGAAGGTCGGGAACCGCTCTTGAATGACACTCTGCAAAGACCCATCAGCCTCTTCGCTTCTTCCACAAAAAAATGAGCGTACCTTAGTCGACCTCTGATCACAGACAAACAACCCATAACACTCCCTCCAATCCTCCCTAACCTCCACCCCACTCCCATCCCCCACCAGCCCCTTCCAACTCTCCATCAACGTCTGGCCCGTCCTCGTGAACGGCGAGCAGTACCACACCATCTCTCCTTGCTTGACTGGCGCGCCGAGGGGGGCTTGGGCGGTCCAGCAGGCGTTAATAGCTTGGGCTTGGGAGATGCCGAGCGGGGTGAGGTAGGGGTCTGGGCCCCAGGGGAGGTCGTCTGCGGTGGGGTAGGTGCGGGCTATGCGGGCTTCCCATTCCTACTTTCTCATGAGCCTTCTTCTTTGAGATTGGGATCGGAGGGTGGGGAGAGAAGCGCACCTTTTTGCTAAAGTTGTCGCTCGCAAGGTTATGCCACCCCTGCCCATGGCGGCCCAAGAAGAACACCTTGTAAGATACGCCTTCGGGAGCGGCATCTTGCAGGTCTTTCACAGATGACTTGAGGTTCTGCCACCTTTCAGGCGACTCGTCAATCAATCCAAAACTCTTTTTGAGCTATGCTTTGAAGTCAGTATCCGGTAGATGAGGCGCACAGTAGGGTATGGAAGCAGGCATACCTGTTCTTCGAATTTGACGTGTTTTGGCTTTGGCCCATTCTGGATGAATAATCCCTGTACGACCTGTATTCAAAGCAGTCATCAGCACAGCACTACATCCCAGGAAGAGTTCGTTGACATCTCCATATCTCAACGCCACCTCATACATGGAGAAACTCACCTCATAAGCAAACTCATGTTTCCTCTCTTCCAGCTCCCTATCACCGCCAGTCTCCACGGCTCCCACAGGGGGCGATTCTGGTTTGAGCTGGGGGGTCATTATATTCCTTGTTGGTTTATCCCAAGTCGCAATTGAATGCTGGAGAAGAGAATAGTGAAGAGGGAAAGGGAAGAGAAAGTAATAAATGAGCGCCGAGAAGCAGCCGAGGGCGGTGGAGGCCGACCACTCACTTCTCGTACTACTTTTCGAGTGATGCTCAAGGGTGTAGAGAGGAAGAGCGACTGCACGAGACTACTGAGGAGCTTGGCAAGCATATGAGACCTGATCACGCCTAAGATTCGGTCGATGCTGAAATTCAATTCATCTCTCTGATTCTGTAATGCCCCTCCATCTACCTATCTAATCTATCGTACACTCTTTCCCAAGAAATAAGATTTCCCTTTTCCTTTGCTTTTTATGTCTGTCTGTATACAAGATACTTCTTTTCCCCTTCCCCTTCTCCTCTCTCTCTTTTTTGATCTCAAGATTACCCCGTCTACACTATGCAAACCCTCTTGCTCTACCATCACCCATCCATAGCAAACAACCCCTCATCATGTTCCTCCCTCTTAACCCCCGCACCCCCCAACGGCGTCCCAACCCCATCCTCCCCCTCCCCCTCATGCTCATCCACCCTCCACCCATCTCCCAGCCCGCCCCTACCGCCCAAACCCAGTCCGCCAGCGGCAGGCGGCGAGCCCACCGCGAGGTTGGCAGGCGAGCGCGGGCCGTGCATGTGCAATCTCGAGAGCGCACTGGCGAGGCCGCCGGGGAGTGATTGGCCGGGGGCGTGGTCTAGTAGTGCTCTTTGGGATGGGGAGGAAGGGTCCAGGCGGATGAGGTATGGGTCGTTCGAACCAATGCCGTTGAGCGCCGGGGCGCCGAAAGCTGATGTGGACATGCCTGGGGACGTCGGGGAAGCGCTGCCTGGGGAACGTTGTTGTGTGAGGAGGCTCGTACGGTGGCCTGAAGGTTGGGCGGTGGTGGGGCCAAAGGTCAAGTCTTGCGCGTTGGAGGAAGAGTTGCGGTGTTTTCGAGCGTCCTCCCCGTTGGCAGACCAAAGGCCTTGCAAGAAACCTTTCTGGCCCATCGTCGCACCAGCACTCTGCGCCAGCCTTTCACCAGTCCATACAGGTCTTTGGGCATAGGAAGGCGAGTAGGCTTCACCATCGCTATCCCTCCTCGACATCCTCCTCGCACGCTCTTGCGGCGTGAGCAAGTCGGACAAGGAAGAAGGCAAGAACTCTTCCCCGTGATCATCCTCGTCTTCAAACACCGTGTCGCGTTTGATTGGTCGGGGAATGGGTTTGCGCGGGGAGAGCGGTTGAGGGGGCTGGTCGGAGCGGGACCAGATGGATCGGTGGAGGGAGGGCGCGTCACCGGCGAATGATGCAGAGAGGGGGGCGGCGACGGTATTTGAAGGGCGTTCGATAGCCAGAGAAGAGTGGGAGAAGGATGATGAGAATGGCGCGGTGGTGACAGGGGGGCGCAGGGTGGATAAGGGGTTACCCTGCTTGAGAGAAAGCGGCCCAGGGACGCTGCCCGCAGCAAGCCCGCTGCCCACAGCTCCAAAGCTCGCAGACAGAGGCGAAGGCCTGTTGGGCGATGACGCAAAAGCAGGATGCGCCCGAGTCAACGAATGGGCAAACCCGGCCGCTGGAGGGCTATTTGGCAAGGCCCCAGAGGGAGGGCCGAACGGCTCTCGCATGGGGGAGGAGCCAATCTGCCTAGCGGGAGGAGACTGGATAGAGGAGGATAGGGCAGAACGGATGGGGACGGGGCTGGCGACAGAGTCGTCCCTTCGACCGTTGGACTCGCCGTTGAGGGGCTTGCCATCGCGCTCGCGGGCTTCGAGCTGCGCGGCCTTCTTGTTCTTGCGGTCCATCGACATGGGTTCTCCGGGACGTACATGCGCCAAAGCGCCTATGACATCGTTAGCAATGCTTTGAGAAGAGTAATAGGCGTACATTTATGCGCAAACTTGCAGTTGCCCTTCAAGAACCACTGGCACACTTCTCGCTTCGCCGCTACTCCTTATCAGCATCTCCTCGCGCGTCTGGGATAGTGTACTTACAGTCCGGAGCAGCATGTGAGAATGGGCAGCTCTCTCCAGCAGTACAAGCCCCCGCCTTGAAGAACCTACAGGGCACATGGCTCAAAGTAGCTACCATCACAATCCCCATCAGCTCTGTCCAAACGCGCGTCGCAATGCGCCCGTATGACCGCGGTATCGCACTCACTCTTGCCATCTTCATCCTTCTCCTCCACCACCTTCTTCTTCTCCCTCTCCCTGCTCAGTCCACTGTCCACGCCTACACCAGGGCTCGACTTGAGACTCCCCAAATCGCGCTTCTCAAAACCAATCGTCTTTTCCGGCACTTTCGTCCCCGTCTGACTCCCCTGCAAGCCCGCGCTTTTCGCGCCGCTGCCCGAGACCGACCCCAACGTTCCGGGGGGGGCAGGCGACCGATCACGCCAGTTGTCATCCTGGAACGACTTGCCGACTGACGTGGCTGCCCCAGCGCGGTATCTATACGACCCCGGCGTCGCGCCCAGCCCACCCCCACCCCCGCCACCTGGGCCGGCGCCTGAGGCGGTGTCCTTCTCCTTGGAGGGGGAGGAGGAGAGGGCGATGGGGGTAGGGCGGGAGCGGGGGATGGGCTTGGCAGAGGCGGGGTGGTCTGATTTGGGAGGGACGGCGTCGCTGATGGGCGGGGGGTCGGAGGGGAGGGGGACGGACATGGTGGCTGGGTGGATGGATGGGGATGGGACTGACGGTGCTGAGGTGGGTACAAACGAAGGAGAAGGAAGGAGATGAGGATGTCCTTTGTGCGTGATGCGGCGAATGCGGCGATCCCCGAGATACAGAGTGGCGGGGGTATGTTGGGTGTCACTGAACACTGATGGATAGAAGGGGATGGATGTTGGAGGATGTTAAATTGTCGACTACTCTACTGTGCACTCACCCGACTGAGAGACTGAGACTCACACTATAACCCAGCTGCCGGCATGACGCTGTGGCGCAATCACCAACGAATCATATCACACCCTTATCGCCCTGGATCCTGGATGATCAACTAGGCAAACGACTCAATTACGAACCCTTAGATTTCTTCTCGGGCAAGCTAATATGCATTTCGTCGGTGCCCGTGGCATGGGGACTTTTGTGCTAGCTATTACTCGGGAAACGCCCCCCTCCTCTGTTCTTCCTTATCTGATGGTTGAGCATCACCTCCTCGTTATACGCCAATCTTCAGATCTCGATATGTATACTGCCTATGGAAGTTGGATCCCATAGCTGTGTCCCGTCCACATCCCGCGAACCCATCTCCCCTCCCCTTCCCTTCCATTCCCTCCTCTTATCCTCTCTTAGTCGCGTGTAAACCCTCAAGCCTGAGCAGGCGCAGGCGAAGCCCCCTGGCTCTGCCCCTGTCCACCCCTCCCTCCTCGTCCGCCACCACCGCCTCGGCCTCGTCCCCTCAAGTTGGGGTTCGAATTTCCACTCTGGTTCTGTGGCCGTCTGTTCTGGCCTTGCTGACCTTGTTGACCCTGGGCTTGGTTGGAGAAAGCCCGAGGTTGAGCGGGCGGTTGACCTTGAGCCTGAGCTTGAACAGGAGGCGACTGCACTTCAGGCGCTTGCTGGTACTGCTGAGGAGGAGCAGCTTGTTGCTGCTGAGCCGGCGCCGGCGACCTCCTCTGACTCTGCTGCTGCCTAGGCGCAGCAATAGCCGCACGCACAGGAGGCGGTGATGGCCGTTCATCCTCCACCATCGCCGGCGCAACGTACAAGACGGGGTCGATCACGGCGGGGATGGGGGCGATCTCTGTACCGAGTTCGGATTCAATACGGTAGAGGTTGTGTCTGTCTTCAAGCTAATTCTTCCGTCAGCCTTTCAACTTTTCGATGTAGTATGAAGATAAAGAGATGTAGAGGACTTACAGTCAAAAGCGAAATAGCCAAACCCAAATGCCCAAACCGACCCGATCGCCCAATCCTATGAAGATAACTCTCCGCCGTCCTCGGGAAATCAAAGTTAATCACCACATTCACCGCCTGGATATCAATACCCCTCGTCAACAAATCCGAGCAGACCAAGTTTCGCGTCATGCCCCCGCGGAAATCATGGAAAACGCGGTTACGATGCGCTTGTTGCATTTTGGCGTGAGAGTAGAAGCAAGAGTAGCCGAGCTCGGTGACTTTTTTGGCGAGGAGCTCGACGCGGTTGGTGGAGTTGCAAAAGATGATGGATTGGTTGATTTGGAGCTGTCCCAGAGTCAGCACAAGGCGATGAGAGTGGGGGAGGACGCACTTTGGAGAAGAGCGTGTTGAGACAGTGGACTTTTTGAGATTCTTCGACGTATGCGTAATATTGTGTAACACCCTTAAGCGTAAGCTCGTCCATCAGGTTGACTTCGAAAGGCTGCACCACATGTTGATCCTACATCTCGTCAGCTCTTCCCTTCTCCACATGACAATGCACTCACTTTAAACTCCTTCACCGTCCATGGGAACGTCGCACTAAACAACATCACCTGCCTCTCCTGCGGACACAACGCCAACGTCTGCTCAATCACCGGCATAAAGTCTTCACTCAAAAGCTTGTCCGCCTCATCCATCACAAACATCCCACACTTGTTCAACCCCGCAATCCCTTTACTCCCTAGGTCAAGGATTCGCCCAGGGGTGCCGACGAGGATATGCACAGGCTGCTGGAGACGGAGGATATCGTCCCGAAGGGTGGTACCGCCCGTGGTGATCATCACCTGCAACCCCGGGATGTGCGCGCCCAGCGTCTTGCACACCTGCGACGTCTGCAGCGCCAGCTCTCGCGTCGGTACCAAGATCAACGCTTGGATATGCGGCAGATTCGTATTGATTCGGTTTAGGGTCGGGATGATGAAGGAGGCGGTTTTGCCGGTACCGTTCTTGGCACGGGCGAGAATGTCGCGGCCGGTGAGGGCCATGGGGATGGCTTGTTCTTGGATGGGAGAGGGCTTTTCGAAGCCGGCAGTATAGATGCCCATGAGGAGTTCGCGGCGGAGGTCGAAATCGTCGAAAGAAGCGCCTTGGGTTGCGGTGACATCTTCTGTTTGTGGGCGGTAGTCTTTGGGAGGGGCGGTGAGGGAGGACTTCCAGTCGGAATTGTGTGATCTGGTCCGAGTCAGGCGGGGTTCAAGAGATGGTGGTGGGTGGCTTACGTTGATGAAGAAGCCATGGTGTAGAGTGTTATGGTGTGGATGGATAGAGAAAGCCAGTGGGCAAGAGGGGTGTATCGTGAGAGATGGACGCCATAATCCCGCCTAGTGGTTCGGCATAACGGGACCAGATCACCTGTGGCAGATTTTGACCCCGTCCTGTTGTTTGGTTTCGGCCTCTTTAGCCGAGCATTGCTCGTCCTTGTATGTCTCACATGCCTTCATTGTACTGGCAGCAGTCTCCAGAAGGCCATGGTCAACTGACGTGAGACCCACGTCAGACTGCTGCTGGCAGCGAGAGCAAGAAGGCTTCTGCCCTGTATGCAGCCCAGTGGCTTGAAAGCGGACTTGATGTGCACTTCTTCAGCACCCACTGAGCGATTTCGCATACCCATTCACGCCACCATTGCTCATCCATCCAACCGCTCGGTTATCCCACCCCGAGTCCGGAGATAGGAAAATATCGCGGAAGCCCGACGCCTAGGGACGCGGCTAATAATCGACTTTTTGTAGACTCTTTGCGTGCTTATCATTGCCCATTTTTCAATCCATCGACTCTCTCATGCGATGGCTGCAGAACTATGATTCATCTTTGTTCCATAACACCATCTTCAAGAATATGACTTTGAATATCGACAAGCCTGTTACGCGTGTAGCTGTCATTGGGGCAGGAGCGGCTGGGCTGGCGCAGTTGCAGCAGTTGCAAGAGGCGTGGGAGAGGGGTAATGTGCAGAGTAAGCTTGAGCTGGTCGCTTTTGAGACGAAAGAAGACGTCGGCGGGGTCTGGTCAGTCTCCTTCTCTCTCACGATCTGGCAAAAGCTGACAGAAGACAGGCTGTGGGACGGCGCATCTAAAAACTCTCTGACTGCACGAGTCCCGGGCAAAGACGGAGACCGAGTGTACTCTTACCCACCTGGGACCGAAAACCCTTCGCCGATGTATACCGGTCTCCGAACCAATATCCCTGCTGTAAGCAATACACCCCCAGCTTCCGGGAGACGAGTTGAACGCGCGGTAGCCTCTTATGGCTTATAGAGGATTCGAGTTTCCAGAAGGGACGCACCTCTTTCCTGAGAGCAGTAAGCCCCCCACCTCCTACCTTATCAAACCATCATACTAACCCTCGAAAGGCGTGGTGCTCAAGTACTTGCAAGATTTCGCAACAGCATACAATCTCCGCCAATACGTGCGCTTCAACACCCACGTCGAGCGTGTCCATCTCTCTCCTTCAGGCTCTTCCCGCCGATGGACTATCGAGTCTGTTTCTTCCAAGAATGCAGAGGGGGAGAAGAGGAGGGAAGAGTTTGATTTCGTGAGCGTTTCGAACGGACATTATGCCGATGGGTGGATCCCTTCCATTAACGGTCTTTCGTAAGTCATCCTCCACATCTCCACTTCCAACACGTGCTGATAGGGTATGGAACAAGTACTTTCCCAGGCGAGATCGTCCACTCGAGATACTACCACTCCCCACCCCTCCTCGCCCCCAAAACCATCCTCATCGTCGGCTCCTTCGCCTCCGGCGGCGACATCTCCCGCCTCATCGCAGGGTACGACCTCGACAAATACTCTCCTTCCGGCGAGCCCCTCCCAGGCCAATCGGGAGAGGGTGAAGGGTTTGTGAAGATATACGTATCAAGCAGTGGGGCTACGGCGCATACCCCTGCTTCCGAGAGTGCTTGGGGCAAGTATTTGAAGCAGAAACCGTTGGTGTCGCATATCGACCCTCCATCCCCCACCCACCCCAAGGGCGTCATCCACTTCCAACCTCCACCCTCTTCAGAGGACGGTACCCCCGTCCCAGTATCTGACGAACAAATCGACGACGTCGACCTGATCTTGTTCGCTACGGGATACAATTTTGCTTATCCATTCTTCAAGTCTACCGACCGGCCTTGGGATGGCAAGAGCGTAGTGGACGGGGTGATCGGGAAAGAAGAAAGGCAAGGCGGGGATGAGAGAGAAGTTGGGGGGCTGAAAGGGTTGACGCCAAAAAACCTTGATGAGCTGCTCATGTTTCATAAAGGCGATCGATCGCTCGCATTCCTTGTCCTTCGTACGTCCCTCCCTTCCTTTCTCCTCCCTTGTTTTGGATGTGAAGAAGACTAATGAAGAAGCAGCATACCAAATGGTCCCATTCCCATTCGCCCAAGTCCAAGCCCGCCTCTCATCCCTCCTCTGGGCAGGCCTCCTCCCCTCTTTCCCCGCCCATCCCACCCTCCCGCCAAACGCTTCAAACCCATACCAACAAGAAGAAGAATCCCCCGCCCCCGTCCCTGCCTCCAACCCCGACCCCACGGCGTCCGAGACATCCACCCCAGGAACGTCGAACACGTATACCACATCCTCCGCCGAAACGCCCTCAAAGCCGTCAACGCGCAAGATGATGCAAGTCCGGCGTCAGCTGCTTTTTGGGGCGCCTTATGAGTGGGATTATTCAGAGTTTTTGATGGGGATCATGGCGGAGGCTGATGCTGGGGAAGGAGGGGAAGGGAAGAAGGTGGAGGAGCATTGGAAGAGGATTGAGCCGTTTAGGAGGGAGTTGAGGGAACAAACTGATTTGAAGAAGAGGACTTTGGGATATTAGATGGTAGATATCTACAAGTGGTGGGGTCTTGATACAGCAACAGAGTAGAGATAGTTTGCACGTAAGACGGAATCTCTTGTCATTTTCTCTTCCTCTTGTTGAATGTCATTTTGTAAAAGTGCAAACACTCCCGTACTCGAGTAGAGTACAGTACGAGTACACCAGTTACAGTACACTTCATCCACTCACAGTATCCAATTGCACACCTATCTAATGTAACATCTAATTGATCTTTATGTCTTACGTCTTACAAGTCTGTCTGATCATCTACAACAGCCTATAATTTGGACTTGGAAAGCTTGGTGGCTTTGACAACGACGGGAATCATCTCGCCGGTTTCGAGCTCGTACTCTTGGTGGTTGAGGACCTTGAGGAGGGAGCGGTAGAAGGCGGCGTGGGCGGTGACCGAGATGACTGCGCTCTTGTTAGCTTTGTCCATATCCATGAGAGTGAAACTTACAGGTCTCGCTGGGGCCACCCTCGCTGAACAGCCTGTCCATAGCGCGCTGCCCTCTCAGTCCTGCGTGCTCATACGTCTCCCTGGGCTCCGGTGTCCAGAGATCATCGTCCTCGGTGATGGAGCTAAAGTCGACGTTGGGAAACCGCTTTTGCAGGTCCGTCTACACCCTGTCAGAGTCCACTCCGCAACAGAAAGAGGTGGATACTCACCTTGGTGTACCGCAAGTCATTGGTGTGATACCCATAAATCTCTCTCAAATCCTCCCACGCCTCCGGCTTACCCTCCACAAGCTCCCCCCAGCTCGCTTCCAACGTCTGATTCGTCCTCACCAACGGGCTGACCAACCACTTCATCTGCCCCGCACCGACTGGCGCGCCCTGCTTGACTTCGCGTGACCAGGCGGCATAGATCGACTGGGCTTGTTGGATACCGAGCGGGGTGAGGGGAGGGTCAGGGCCCCAGGTGATCTCGTCGTCGCCGGTGAGGAGGGCCCATTTGTGGTCCCAGTCGTCGCCATACTTGGCGTTACCAAAGTTGTGCCAGCCTTGACCGTGTCGTCCTATGCCCTTATCAGCTCTATCCCATGCAATCGCGTAGCCGAGCGTACCGAGGAAGAGGACTTTGTATTGCACGCCCTCGGTAGCTTCGTCCTGCAGCTTCTTGAGGGATGACTTGAGGTTTGTCCATCTATCCGGGCTCTGGTCCACTAATCCGAAACTCTTTTGCAGCTACGCACGACATCGGCATCCGTTCCTCTGCACGCGTCTGGTGACGTACAATCTCTTCAAACGCAACATGCTTGGGCTTGGGTCCATTCTGAACGAAAAAGCCTTGTACGACCTGTACAAAAGGTCAGCTCGAAGAAAGAGGAGCGGAATGGAATTGGATACTTACCTCAAAGCCGAATTCCGGTGTCCTCTCCTCCAGGCTCGGCTCTGGCTTGACACCGTTGGTATCGTGGACACCGTTGGTCGCGAGGTGGCCGTTGGTCTGTACCTGGGTCATATCTTGTGGGAAGTGGTTGAGGGAGAAGGATGCAAGAGATGAAAAAGATGAATGTTATGAATGTTATTGGGGCTGTGAAGGTGAGACACGCGATCGGGGTCAAATAATATAATTCCTGGCTCGGGGCGCGGATCGAGCCGATATGTAGTGAATTCAGAGGGTATGCCGGCATCACCCATATAGATCTCAGATCTGTAGACAAGAGATGTAAGAGGTGAGTAGCGCAGATGTCGAAAGCTATTCATATACCATACATATGCATGGGAGACAGAAATCTACAGGGTCAAAATACAGTACGGGACGTTCGGGATCAACCCTTCGGCCTCTCTATAGACGTGTGCGTGGCCTTTACAACGACAGGGATCATCTCTCCAGTTGCAAGTGGATACGGCTGGTGGTTGAGTACAGCAAGCAGGTTGCGGAAGATTGCAGAGTGTCCTGTGATGGAAATGTCTGCACGTTTTATCAGCAAGCCGATCGAAGGCCGGAGCAGGCGAGACAGGGCGTCTTACAGGTCTTTCCAGCACCACGTCTGCCAAAGAGTCTGTCCATGGCTCGTCGAGCTCTGAACTGCATATGCTCATCCGTTTCGCGGTCATCGGGTTTCCAAAGTTCGTCTTCCTCTGTGAGACCGTCTTCGATAGTGAAGGCTGGGAAGCGCTCCTTGATGATGCTCTGCGAGCTGTCAGCCTCTTTCTCATGGCATATTTTGATCGAACATACCTTGGTAGACCTCTTATCACAAGTATGCACTCCATAGATCTCCCTGAAATCCTCCCAGACCTCAATCCTCTCACCCTCCTCCAACACATCCTTCCAGCTCGTCTCCATAGTCTCTCCCGTCCTAGTCATCGGCGAACAGTACCACCTCATCTCCCCACTCTTCACCGGCGCCCCCAAAGGCGCTTCTTTTCGCCATGTGTCATTGACAGCCTGGGCTTGAGATACGCCCAAGGGAGTGAGGAAAGGGTCGGGACCCCAGGTGAGTTCACCATTGCCGTTGAGGAGGGCCCATTTGGCTTCCCAGGCTTCGGTGCCGTATTTGGATTCGGCGACGTTATGGAAGCCTTGCCCGTGTCTGCCTGAAGAAAGTATCAACTCAAGTTCGGTCGACATAGCAGATAGCTCACCAAGGAACAGTACTTTGTAGATTACTCCTGCAGGCGCTTCGTTCTGCAGCACCTCGATAGATGCTTTGAGGTTATGCCACCTATCGGGGCTTTCATCTATCAGCCCGAAACTCTTTCCCAGCTACACAATTGGCGTCAGCTCCAACGACGATGCAGAGGGTCATGACATTCGTACGAGATCTTCAAATTCAATGTGCTTGGGTTCCGGTCCATTTTGGACGAAGAACCCCTGTACGACCTGCCAAATCATCAGCCTCTATCCCAAGGAGTGCCACGTCTTAGACCTCATATACAGAACGTGCTTTGAAACATACCTCATAGACAAACTCATGCGGTGGCTCTTCCACTTCTGGCGCTATAGCAGGTCCACCAGACTCGAGGGATGCTACTGGGGGCGAATCGTGCTGCGTCATACTGTTCTTTTTTGGCTTGACTGTTGTGAATTCTGTGGCAGAGGCCGAGTACGAGCTAAGAGATTGAAGTAGTCTCAGAAAGGGATGACAAGATTCAGAGATGGGCGAGAAGAGAGATATGTGTTCGGCTCGTCGACCGGTGGGTTCCGGTCGCGTAGGTGGAGGTCAGTAATCATCATCAGATCTCGTTCCAATCTCGTTCCCATCATGTCAGATGCCCCGACGCGTCGATCTGCTGTCTTTGATCCTGTATTGGATATTCTCATACAAGGATAGTTATATCGTACAATTAAGTCCGCCGCCATGATAGGTATGCTACATAGATACCATGTCCGACACAGCAAATCTTTACAACGTACTGACTTTCTATAGACCCGACGACCATGGAAGAAACATATCTCCCAAGTACCGAGCCACTGTCAGCCGCTTACTGGATCAAGCACAAACAGCCAAACGATCAAGTCCATAGCTGCCCAGAGTCAATCGCTGCCTATGAGAAAAGTAACGGGGGGCACGCATCGTATCCAGCCCGTGGCCCACACGCCCCGACACCAGTTCCCGAACAATGCGGGGAGGGTTTCAGGCGCCACATCCCCCAGGTCCATAACGGGATGAATGTCACCAAGTGGAGTCGAAAAAAAGTTCAGCCCGGGCACTGTGTGATGATGGGGAACGATTGTGCCTTGACATGGAGCACCATAACAACTGCCTACCCGCATTCTTCTATGCGTAAGCAACAACCGCCCTCTTGAGCAACATCAATTGGGGGTTACAAGCTCATGTGGCTCATAGTAATCGCGGCTTGCATTTTGTAAACCGCCAGCGGGCAGCGGAGCTTCATGGATACATGGGCTTTTCAAAGAACACTGATCCATCAATGGACAGAAGAGCCCGAGACGCGCCTCCCCAGCTTTTTCCATGCCGTACTGGGAAAGTGCTGGGAATGTTTCTGTCTGGGGAGCGAGTGTGGTATTGAAGGGAAGCGTGTTCGTCGTGAGGAGGAATGCTACTTTGAGTACTATGGCGTGTCCCTCTACCATGACCTTGCGCGTGAGTCGTCAGCGTCTTGTCTGTTCCATGATGTGAACCTGATAACTGGCAATATAGAAGCTGGAGCTGCTAGCCGTCAAACGGACAATGCAATCCCGAGGTCACAACAAGCTCTCCCCTCGCTCCTCCGTCAAGCGAAAAGCTTCTCCAATCAACCTCGCCGCTCTCAAGAAACGACTCTTCAAATCACCAGAGCCACCCGAGCTCCCAGCTCCAAAAAGATCACGATTGGACAAGGAGCCTTCTGCTCCCGCAAGTAGCGCAGGTGTCAAACTCTGGCGTCCACCAGGGCAGGAGAAAACCGCATCGCCCGATCCCCCTACCGTCTCCGACGACTACAGCTCCCTGCTCTCCTCTGTGGAAGAGATGGCCGAATGTTCCTTGGCGGCAGACAGGCTCACTTTTGAGATGGAAATCATCCCCAGCAGGTTGCGCCATTCCATACCAACATCACTGGGCCGCGACAAAGTCTCTGCCGAAGTGGCGAACCTCGTGGCCAGATTGGAAAGGTCCAATGACGGAGAGTTGAAGAGGGAAAAGGAACAGCAACAGGAGCTCTTGCGCGGCTTCAGAAAGAAGAAGCGAGCATGGGAGAGGCTGGAAATTCTCAAAAAGGAGGATTGGGAGCAGACGTCAGCTGAGGCGTTGAGGGCGAATAAAACTCTCAATCAGCTGAAATTCCATAAGAGAAGGCGAGGCTTAATCGCGAGGCAATGGCGTATGCCATGAATAAAGACTTGGATAGCGACAAGAAGAAGGAGTTTAAAAGGTGTATGAGCGAGAGGACCGAGACGAGTGGTTCCTGGGTGGTCGGTCTGAGCTGTTCTGAATGACGGCAAGAAAGAGGTGTGTCAAGAATGTATGAGCGAGAAGATTGGGGAGTAACTCTTGGGTGAATGTACCTGCACATATGAACATGGATATTCAGTATCATTGGCCGGTCTTGGCGCGGCTCTCAAGTAGTGTACATTCAACATCATAGATCAACTCCTTACCAGAGCGAGTTTGAACTCCCATAAACTCCTCCAGACGGATTCACAGCATCCAAAAACCCTCCATAATTCTGGGCCGTCTCCCCACAAGGACTCGCCGCTCGGATCTGCTGTGCCTACAAATCCCTCGTCAGCTTACCACCCTCACTTCCTTCTTCCCTCTTTCTCCTTGACATCTTTCCCATGGGATGAGTTTGGGATGGGCAAAGAAGCGGGACTGACCTCGGGCAACCACTGCGTCAATTGTTTGATCCGCTTAGCATTAGCAGGGTGGGTGGAGAGGAAATCGACGTTGAGGCCTTTACCGCCGCCTTCGGATTGGGACATTCGTTCCCACATGCTTTACTCGGGGTTAGTATATGTGGACAAGCGTGATGGGAAGGGGAGGGGAGGGGGGACGCACTGGGTGGATTCTGAGGGGTTGAAACATGCGCGGCTGGAAGAGTTGATGTCAGTTGAAGGGCTGGGTGAGAGAAGGGGAAGGGAGTGGAGGGACGTACGCCATGAGACGGAGACCGATAAAGTCGGCTTCGCTTTCGTTCTTTCTAGAATTGGGTAGTCTATAAAAGTGTCAGCACTAGCCAACAAGTTGTTCAAACACACTTACTGAAGCATGAACGTCAGAAGCAATCTCGAAACGCCGACATCCAGACCCAACGTTTCCAGCAAGAATCCCAGCGCAAACAGCACCTTCATCGAACTCATCCTCTCAGCCGGATGACGCGCGACCTGATGCGCTACTTCGTGTCCCAACACGGTAGCCAGACCGTCGTCGTTGGCGGACACGGGGAGGATACCGGTAAAGACAAAGATCTTGCCGCCGGGCAGGACAAAAGCGTTCTTGGTCTTCTTGTCATCAATGACATAGACTTCCCACTCTGTTTCTTTCCCTTCTTTGATACTGTGCGATCCATCCCCGCTCCCTCCCAAGAAGATATCCTTCATCTCCACGCCCCCTCCAAACGAGGGCACTTTACCCTCCACAGCCCCCATCTCACCGCCGCTTTTGACTCTGCCGAGATTCGAGCTTTCGATAATCCGGGTGGCGATCTTGCGTACGCGCTTGGTTATTGGGTGGTTGGCTGGGAGGACGGCGGTGGAGTATTCGGAGAGGGTTTGGAGCTGGGTTTGGCGGCCGAGCTCGGTTTCTTGGGCTTCGTCGACGTCGATGAAGCGTAGGCGGTTTGTTTCTGGTACTCTTTCGAGGCTAGCCATTATTCATTAGTGATTGTCTGATAAGGGAGTGAGCTGACATACTGAGCGACATAGTAGACACCTCCAGCCCCGATCCCAATCCCATACACCCAAACAGCCCTCTCTCCTCCTACTCTCCGCTTGATATACGTCCACAGATTCGGTCCCCTGGGTCCGCCGCCACCCGCGCCACCTCCTGAAGACCCTCCGCCAACGTTTCCAAAGCTTGGCCGTTCGTCGAAACGTTCATAACGAGCTGCAAGGCGGGGAGTGGTATGAAAGGGCCGGGAGAGTGGTGGTGGTCGGACTGGAAAACGGGGTGTGGGGGCTGGAAGGTGGATGCTAACGTCTTTCAGGGTGTTCTTGGATATTCTTGAGAACATCGTTGTGGATTATAAGACGAGATGGAAAGATAATGCTGAAAATGAAGAAACGATGACGCTGACAGCCGGACCGTCGGACACGGCCGCCGGGCATCGCCGCACGCCTGAGTCGTGATAGGCGCACGTGGCCCGGGGCATGAATGGAAGAGATGTCCATTCGTCTCTCCACAACCGCCACGATGCCCTCCGACCTCTCCTACTGGCTCATCGCAGCCCCCCTCAAGCATGGCGACCCCGACATTATGCTCCAGGACGTCCGCGACGAGGTGTCGGGCGTCACTGTCGCCAAGTGGGAGATACCCGAGCTCAAGGTGCGTCCCATCGCGTTCAGCAAGCATAGAGCTCACAAGCATACAGGCGGGCACTCTGTCAAACCTCTTGGTCCTCTCTGACGCTCTCCCCAAACTCGACGCTCAATTCACAAACACCGTCTCCAAACTCCTCGACCAACTCCGTACCCTCGTCTCGGACGACCCCTCCAAGCTCGCGCAGCATGCGAGGATCAATGAGTTGCCGGTGGAAGAGTATTTGTTGGGGAACGGGGAGGGGTTCAAATGGGATAGGAGCAGGTGGGGACAGGAGGGGAAAGTGGATGAAGTGGTCGGGGCTTTGAAGAAGGTATGTTTGGTTGGAGAGTCTCGAGCTTATAGTCAGAGCTGATGACATGGACGTAGGAGATTGAATCTATCGACGCTGTCCAAAAAACAAAGTACCAATCGTACCAGATCTCCAAAGGCAAGCTCACGCAGATCCAACGAAACCAATCGTACGCTCCTTCCCTGTGGGGTGCCGAGTTTGAGACTAACAGACTATCAGCGCCAACCTTTCCTCACGGTCGTTGCTCGGTATTGTTCAGAAGAACCACCTGGTGCCGGACAGTGAATACCTCGAAACATTGATCTTTGCTGTTCCCAAGTACGTCTTATGTGTTTGTCCTTGAGCAAGTACTGACGATACCAGGAACTCTGTCAAGGACTGGAATGAAAAGTACGAGCGTCTGACCAGCATGGTTGTGCCCAGAAGCACCCAGTAAGTCTCTCCCTCCCACTCTCCCTACTGTACGCTGACTGGCCGTCAGGCAAATCACCGCGGACGACGATTATGTGTTGCAGACCGTGACGGTGTTCAAGAAAGTCCGGGACGAGTACATCCACAAGTGTCGAGAGAACAAGTCAGTCTTCTATCCACATTTCTCAAGGGGCGATTACTGATGTAGTGGCAGGTTCATCGTCAGAGAATTCACATGGGACGATAGTGCGCTGGAAAAGCTAAAGCAGGAGACTGCCGATTTGGAAGTCGAAGAGAAAGAGCTCTGGGTATGTCCCTTCCTCCCCGCCTCTCCCTCTTTCTCTTCATCAGCACAATGTGCTGATAACACTTCAGACGGACCTCCTGAAACTCACCCGAGTCAACTTTTCCGAAGCATACCAAGTCCTCGCGCATCTCAAGACGATCAACCTCTTTGTCGAATCCGTCCTCCGATATGGTCTTCCAGCGGACTATGCCGGCGTCATCATCAAAGTACGTCTCCCTTGTCTTCTTAACTTCTCGGATGATAAAGAGAACCAAAGCTAACGAAGGATTGCAGCCGGAATCAAAGACGGCAGCTAAAACCCTCCGCACCATCAACGAATCATACGCCAACCTCGCCCTCTCTTCCTCCAGCAATTCCAGCGCCAAAAAGGGCAAGGGTAAAGACAAGAGCAGTGGTGGAGGGGCGGGAGAAGAGGTGGGGGGCGAGTTTGCTAGTGTGATGGAGGCGGAGTATTACAATATGGTGTTTGTGGAGTTGCCTATGGTTGTTACGCGATGATTGGAAGAAGGGAGAAGGGGATAGAGAGGGAAATGGGAATATGTATTATCGTTGTGCTTTTGATTGGGGAGCGGGTTATGGGCGAGGCGTTCTCAAAGACCCTGTCTCGTGTCGAAGTTGGACAGTCCCGTCGCTGCCTTGCCTCGCCTTCACTACTACTGAAGAGGGACCATTGACCGCGAGACCTGTGGTTTATGACGGTGCAACATCCACAATCCCGCTCAAGTATTGGGGGCTGGTACTGCCGGTCTCTCTCCTGCATCGCCCAGCTGAGGTAGCTGGGTAGCTGAAAGGACAGACGCGCTATAGCTCCTTGTTCTCTCTAAACCCATGAAACGGACGTCTGTACAGATGTCGGCGTCCTGTCGTAGACTAGGTTCGCTCTTTTCATTCCATGGACGTTTTGGTATGGGTAAGCGCGAGAGGGGTCAAACCTGAATGATCGGCTCTCAGGGATCCTATTAGGGTCACTCTTTCATGACGATGGCGACTCATAGTTTGCTCAAAACGTGCGATGAAGCTCATGTGTGTGAGAATAGGCCTATCCTCGCCGAAAAAAAGCTGGTATCACTTTGCACACGACGTTGAATGTAACACCTTTGAGGCCACCCCGAATTGAAGACGCAAGCTCTTCTGTCTCTGTTCCGCCATGCTTAACGACTGGCTCCTCCTTTGTGCACAGCACACAAGCTCTCATGCTATTGAGGCCCAATCCAGGTAGCTTTGATGGAAAGAAGTAACAGGTCAGGAGGAACATAGAATCAATCCTGTGACGGAACCAAACAAAGCGGTAAAACCCGCATGCTCCGGACCGTGGGGCCGATATCACGTTTCGCGCACGACATTCTTCCGGCTCGTGTATGAGAAGACTCGGAGAATCGTGAGGTCAAACTTCTCTTTCTTCTCTTGTTCTTTATCCAGTCATCCAGCACCATGTCTGAATTCCATTCTCTCGTCAAGACCCAGCCACCGCAAGTCACAGCCCTCAACCTCCCGCCCAACTCGGCAGGCGTTCTCTTGAAGAAGCGAGACATCATCATCCGCGAAGAGCCACTGCCCATACTTCAGCCTGATGGTGTTCTTGTCAAGGTCATTGCTACAGATAAGTGCCTCTCACCCAAATTCACACAGGTCGATGCTGATGTTGGTATCCACGTATCTGCGGTTCAGACCTGCACAACTACGTCGCGGGAGGTGTCGGTGGAAGGCCCGTCACAGAGCCTATCGTCCTCGGCCACGAGTCTTCTGGCGAAGTCATCGCTATCGGAGACCTTGTCAAGACTCACAAAGTTGGTGACCGTGTAGCTAGTATATTGTGCTTCTTTTCCTGGTTCATGCGCTAATGAAGGAATAGTCGAGCCTGGACTGCCTTGTCGAAGGTGTGTGAATTGCAAAGAAGGAAGGATCAATATCTGCTCGAGTAAGTTTGATGGGCTTGCTTCTCTGTGGGGCGTAGGCTGATAAGAGGATAGATCAGCATTACTGTGGTGCGCCCGGTTCGGTCGGCTCGCTCTCTCGGTAAGCCGCTCTCTCCTTCCTGATGCCTGGTAGGATCTGACTGTACCGCAGGTTCTTTGCCCTTCCGGCCGATATGGCTCCTCATATTCCCGATAACGTCTCTTGGGAAGAATCAGGGTGCATCCAGCCTCTCGCCGTAGGCCATTGCTCTCATATATTCAGCAATCTCGCCCGCTGACTCGAGTCTCTCAGGTTGGTATTCAGGTCGCCAAACGAGTTGACCTTCGTCCCCACAAAACAGTCGCCATCTTGTAAGCCCCTTCTACCCTCCCCTCTCTCCTTTCCCGGACCTGATGGGATCCGAAGCGGCTGTGGTCCTGTAGGCCTCATCTCCGCCGCCGTAGCCCACGCCTACTGCGCCCGCAAAATAGTCGCATTCGACAACAACCCCGTCCGCGTCGAAGCCGCTCGGAAGTACCGCTCGCCCGTCACTGGCAAACCCATCATCGACCATGTCTTTCTCACGAAAGATATCCCTACCACTTCTCTCAAGAAGGGTGCGAACGGGCTTGTGAACGGCAACTCCCACATCGATGAGCTGGCGTACAAGATTGGAGAAGCTGGCTCTGGCGCTGGGATCGCTGATGGTGGTATTCCGGACGAGCACGACGAAGAGTCTGTTGGTGATCGCAAATGGGAATGGGCCAAGAAGATCGCTGCGAGGTATATTGAAGAGGCAGGTTTGACGGAAGAAGAGGGCTTCGACAGGGTGGTAGAGGCGACTGGGGTGGAAGATTGTATGAACCTGGGCATTGCTGTTGCCAAACAAGGTGCCAATTGTACGTCTAACGTCTGTTTTTTCTCTTGTTCTCGCCCATCTGACGATGCAAAAGACCTCGGTATCGGCCTCTCCCATATCCAAACAGCCTCCTTCCCCATCCTCGCCGTCACCAACAAAGAACTCAACGTCATGGGCATCACCCGATACACCTCCTCCTGCTTCCCGTCCGCGCTGGATCTACTGGAGAGGGGAGTGGTTGATGTCAAGCAATTGATCACGAATAGGTTCCCGTTGACGGAGAGTGATAGGGCGTTCGAAGCTGCGGCTGGGGGAGGGGAGATGAAGGTCATTATTTTAAACCAGGAGGGGTTCTGAGGGGTGTATTTGGTGGGATAGACGGTAGACGTTAAGGATTAGATGAAGAAGCTGTGTCTTTTGATTCCTCACGGTAGCTTTGAAATCCCAGGGGAGTCATTCGGGATACGCTAAATGACATTCCTATACAGATCGCCCTCCTTCTCCGTCGCCACTTACGACTAGCAGGTGTCAAACAGGCGTCCAGGGCTCACAGCATGGAATGATGTTTGGTTCTTCACCAAGTGCAGTTGAAGTGCAGCTGCCCTTCTTATCTCGGTTATTGCCACGTCACTCTCGGCAGCACGGCATCTTTTTTTTTTCATTCTTCTTGCTTGAGTCTTTGTTCGACTTGCCGACGCGTAGATGCATGTCCCATGTCGAGCACCTCCTGAAGCATCGCATGAGACTGCCATCGCTTGAGGTACTTTCGGCAAAGTCAACAAGCAAAGAAGGAGCCAGCAGGCAATGCAAGAGGAGATGGGGTCCAGATATCGACCTACCTGAAAGCCGCCCGAGTTGCGCCCGAGTTGCCGTCCTATATATTCAACCTCAAACAGGGATATTCATACTCGCCACCCCCTACTCACGCGGTCACGCCTCAGAATGTCTATTAAAGAACACAAGATCGCGGTCATCGCCGGTGACGGTGAGTTTTATATCCTATTTCATGAGATCGAGCTGACAGCGCGAAGGTATCGGAATCGAAGTCACTGCCTCGACTTTGGAAGTCCTCCGAGCCGTTCAGAAGAAGGTGGGCGGATTTGAACTCATCTTCGACGAGCTCGATTATGGAAGTCCGTCCTCCCCCCCTGCCAGCCTCATCCAGCACTAACATTCTCTAGGCGCCCGCTACAAGGCCAAGGGCTCCTATACCCCCGAAGGCTGGCTCGACCACCTCCGCAAATACCATGCCATCTTCTTCGGTGCCGTCGGTGACCCCTCCGTACCCGACCACATCTCCCTCTGGGACCTCATCCTGCCTATGCGTCAATCTTTCCAGCAATACGTCAACATCCGACCGTCTTCCATCCTCCCCGGTATTCCTGCGAGGATTGTGGGGGCCAAGCCTGGAGATCTGGACTGGGTGATCATCAGGGAGAACACCGAGGGAGAGTATGCTGGACAAGGAGGTAGGACACATGTGGGGACAGAGTGGGAGGTTGCTACGGAGCTTGCGATCTTTACAAAGAAGGGTGTGGAGAGGGTTATGAGGTTTGCGTTTGAGACTGCTCAGAGCAGGGGGAAGAAGCAATTGACTGTCGTGTCCAAGAGTAATGCTCAGGTATGTCCCAATCCATCTTTCGCCTGGTGACCGCTAACGTATATGCAGCGATATGGTCTTCTTCTGTGGGACGAGGTTGCTGAAATCGTCTCCAAAGACTTCCCCGACGTCAAATGGGACAAGATGCTCGTAAGTATCTCCATACTTTCCCCAGTTTTCAAATTTGACAGATGTGACCTCAGGTCGACGCCATGACCGTCCGCATGGTCGCCAAACCCACCTCCCTCGACACCATCGTCACCACCAACCTCCACGGCGACATCCTCTCTGACCTCGCCGCCGGTCTCTCCGGCTCCATCGGTATCGCCCATTCCGCATCCCTTGACCCTACCCGTACATCTCCTTCCTTGTTTGAACCGGTGCACGGAGCGGCGTTCGATATCATGGGCAAGGACCTGGCGAACCCCATTGCGGCGATTATGAGCGCCGCGGAGATGCTGAGGTGGTTGGGTGAGGAGGAGGCGGGGGCGTTGGTGGAGAAGGCTTGTAAGCAGAGTGTTGCTGATGGCAAGACGACGGGAGATTTGGGGGGCAAGTTGAAGACTAGTGAAGTTACGGACGTTGTTGTCAAGATCCTTGAAGGCCTTTGATCGACATGTCAATTTAGAAAACAACAAGATAGAGGGGTTGATGCATAGATATTCCAACAATCATTTGTCTACAAAACAGTTTTGACTGACGAACATCCGTCTTGACCTTGTAAAGTCAACTATCGGACGTCCCTGCATTCACCACATACATACTCGATATCAATTATCCGTACAGCTCCAGATGTACTGAATAAGAGAATAATCAGGCTGAAATTACCCAAATTTGAGCGTATGAGCTCCGATTGATGGTTTTTCAACTTGGCCGGGGATTGATCATGTCCGACTTTGATGGTGGTGACTTTATTGGTCTACAACACATCCTGAGAGCTCGCATCATGTTGTTGACTACGAGGTGGACTTGCTTCCCTTGATCGTGCAGAGACTCCATCAATTTGAAGAGCTGCATCACATCCTATGTTTACTGCTTCCCCTCCACACCCCTCGCAACCTCATTCACAGCCTCCCGAATAGTCGCCAGCGCCTCATTGACCTCTTCCTCACTCAGCACCAACGCCGGAATAAGTCTCAAAACCGGGTAGATACTTGTCGTCAGTACGAGAAGGCCACGATCATAGCAGGCGTTCTGCACGAGGGTGTGCAAGTTGGGAGGGATGGTGGCCTCAGGGTAGGATGGGTGGGGAGTGGAAGTGAGCCGGGAGGAAGGGGATTTGAATTCAAGAGCGATCATGAGCTATTCGCCGCATCTCTCATCAGCTCTGCATCTTTCTCTACAGGAGAGAGGCCTCTAATACTTACACCTTTGCCACGGACTTCTTCAATAAACCATCCTCCATTCTCTTCATCAGCCTGGATCTCGCGAAGACCCTTGAAGATCTGCTCAGACCGGGCTTGGACGTTGCCTAGGATATCGTGGGAGCGCATGTACCTGGTCGTGGCGAGGGCGGCGGCGCACGCTACAACATTACCAGAGTATGTCCCACCCTTTTCTAATCATCAGCCGGCAAGTCTCCAGCAGGTAAGGAACAACAGACGCACGAGAGAGCCGGGAAGCATGACGTCCATGATCTCTTTACGAGTGACGATACCCGAGATGGGCATACCGTTTGCGAAGCCTTTGGCGTAGACCATGATGTCGGGAGTGACGTCGGAGTGCTCAATAGCAAATGTTTTACCGGTACGTCCGAACCCTGTCTGGATTTCGTCTATCGCGTTCATCAGCACCTGTAACAGACGGTGGAGGGATAGGGAAGAACAGAACGTAGAGACTCACCGACAACAAGCATGATCCCATGTTTATCGCAAACCTCCCTCAGGTGTCTGACATACTCCACCGGAGCAGGTACATATCCACCCTCTCCGATGACAGGCTCGAGGAAGATTGCAGCAGTATCCTCCGGCGCAGTCTGTTGTTGAAGCAAGCTCTCGAGGCCGATGATAGCGTGCTCTACGAGGGCTTCTTCGCTTGTGGTTTTGGGGAGATTGAGGGCGTGCCAATAGGGGAAGGGAGTAGTGTAGACACATGGCTTGTACGGAGTCAGCGAAGGCTATAGAAGGAAAAAGGGGAGGTCAACTTACCATGAGAGGACCAGTACCTTTGAAGAAAGAAGTCTTGGATCGGGTCAGGGCAGCAGCTCCAGACGTGCGGCCGTGGTATCCTCCCTGCATGACAATGATGTTGTTCCTCTTCGTCTTTGTCCTCGCAACCTTGATAGCCGCCTCTATAGCTTCACTACCGGAGTTCCAAAAGAAGAAGCTGTCCAGACTCTTGTCTGGCATCATCGGGAGTAGAGACTCGACGAGCTGGACGTATGGTTCCGAGAGGCCGATAGCACATTGGACGTGGATGATCGACTGGGCTTGTGCAATGATGGCCTCTGTCACGTCGGGGTGGGAATGGCCGAGAGACGTGACTCCGATCCCTGAGGTGAAGTCAAGCAGCTTTCGATTTTCCTGATAGAGGATCAGCATTCGCCATACAGAGGAGTGAGGGGGAGACGTACGGTGGTGAGGACTCGCAAACCCTGCCCTTCCTTGACGACATGGTCGCGCAGACGTCCTAGACCCTTGGTGATGTGCTTCTCGGCGATGGCTTGGAGGCCTACTGTAGAAGTGGTGAGGGGGAGAGGTTTGGTGGCAGTACTCCGGAGAACCGCGAGGTGGGAAGGAGATGGTCTGAATGCGGGCATGATGGGAGGTGATGGGATGGAAGAGAGAGATTGTTCTTCTTTGAGCCAACAATGCATCGACTGAGTCGCCGCGGGAACCATCGCTTGAGTGTTGTCCTTTTGCGACGGAACGGCAAAAGGAGTTGGGAAGCGACGCGTCGGCTACTTATCAGCGGCATCTTCGGCCTGCTCCGATCGGCTATCGGCAACTTGTCGCCTCGGCTCTATGTACCCTGCTGAGCCACCGTACGTATATCATATATGCATACATCTGCTGGTCGTTCTTCCCATCTCCTGTATCTTACCACTGCAACCACTAAACTATACACCATGCCTTCTGTTGTCTGTAAGTATCCCCTTCTCCTATCAGAGCTAAAATTGACACTACTCCTAGTCGACGTTGTCGGAACGTGCTTCTCCTACGACAATGGGGCGCTCGCCCTCCAGACCCGCCTCGGTCCCAAGCTTGCCGCCCACGGCCTCTCTTCCAAACTTCTCTTCTACGCCTGGGTCTGCGGCACAGAGCGTGACTACTCCTACCTCTCGCAAATCAAGCAATACAAACCCTTTTTCGACATTCTCGCCAACACCCTCACCCGCGTACTCTACCAAGCCGGGGTCCCAAAGGAAGAGCTTGGCGGGTTCTTCACCCAAGACGACGTTGACTACATCATGGCTGAGTACAAAAAGCTCAAACCCCGTCCTGGACTCGCGGAGATGATGGCGACTCTGCGCGAGGGAGGGTTTGAGGTGTGGTGCTGCTCTGACGCGAATATCGATCGGGTGAAGGGGTACTTTGACCATGCCGGGGTGGAGATGCCGCTGGATCATATTCTGTCGGCAGACATGGTCATGGCGGGCAAGCCTGAAGCGGCGGTGTACAAGTTTGCCAGGGAGAAGGCCGGGTCAGATAAGCCTGGGGAGGTTTCGGTGTTTGCTGGTATGTCCTGCTTCTGTTTTACGGGTACCGCATTACTGACGCCACTATAGCATCTCACGCCTGGGACACAGCTGCCGCCAAAGCAGCAGGCTTCGTCACGGCCTACACCACGACCTACGAGTACGACGAGTGTGAGACCATTTTTGGCAAGTCGGATCTCGTCACGCCAGATTTGATCTCGTTGGGCAAGGGAATCGTCGAGAAGTGGGGCAAGAAGTAGAGGAAGACGAGTTGAACAATTGTCAGAAAACCAGTATGTATCAATTGGGCATAGATGCTAGCTATGGAAACGCGTTGGTGTCCATTCAAATAGGTGCGCTCTTCATCAAAATATGTGCGCGGCAATTGCAATAAGTGCGCTTCCCGAGCGCTGTGCGTTCACCCACTCCCTCACTGTGCACGGGTGAGAGCTCGAGTATCACGTCTGAGTAGTTGTATTTAATCCTCGACGACCACGATGGGGACAAGCCTTAGAGTTTAGCCTTGAGAGCAGACAGAGACGAAAATGAACCCATACATCGAAGCCCTATTACAAAACCGCTACCCCAGCCGCAAGCCCCTCCACATCATCTACTTTTCCTTTATTTTTCTTTCCACCTCCCTGTCCCATAGCCCCCAAAATGAGATTCTCCCTACTCTCAAATCTCTCCCTCGTCATCCAATACGGCTTCGGCAACTTGGTCTCGAACTCCCCTTCTGCCTCCGGGGTGAGGGTGTTGCTGTTGTTGAGATATGAGAAGGTGAGGGAAGCGATGGCGGAGGTGCAGCCTGGGATGCGGGGCATACCTATGATAAAGTCAGCTTTGTAGAGAGAAAAATAGGGACTGCAAGAGAGGAGGAGCAGGGAGGAGCCGTAACGTACCGTGTCCTGTGAAGCCGGCGCAGATGAAGACACCTGGCATGTCTGGCACCTGTCCGACGTAAGGAAGAAGATCGCTCGAATAGCCCAACACTGCAAGTCATCAGTATCCACAATCGTAGTGCCACAAGGAGAGGAACTCACCCCCAGACCAGACTTTATCTACATTCTCCTTCCCACCGTCCCAATCAACAAAGTGTTTTGGCGCAAAATCTTCGAAGTACTCTTGGGCCCCAGGCATATTTTGATCGTCATTCTTGTTGTTATACCACTTGTCGATATCATCCAAGAAACAGCCCTTCGCCCCACCGAGGATGATGCTCCTATCGCCTTGACCGGGAATACCCCGACCTTGGCGAGGAATCATATAGTCCACCTTCCCTGGCCCATGTCGGAAACCATATGTATACTTGAAAGGTCCTGGAAGATTTCCAAGAGAATGACAGGGGCCAGGGGATATCGAGCAGACGGTACCGCGGACGGGGATGATGAGGGGCTTAAAGGAAGGGAGAAGGGAGGAGGTGTAGGCGTTTGTGGCGACAATAAGCGTGGGAGATGAGATGGTGCCGCGCGAAGTATGAACTGTCCATTCGCCTGGAGAGGACGAAGAGGGAGAGATGGATAGAGCGGGAGTAAGGGTCTGGATGTTGAGGCCTTTCTTGAGGGTGATGTGGGCGACTGTGCGGCAGTCGGCGCAGTCTCGAGACGGAAGATGAAGAAGGCGGGACAAGACGTACGCGAAGATGCAAGCTTGTAAGGCCACAGGTGACCTGCTGGATAATGCGCCCCCCAATGCCCACCCCTCACACTTGTGAGCTTCTCGAGTTCTTTGGGATCATCCACCGCCATCACCCCATGCTTCTCCATAATTTCTCCCCACGCTGCTTTGCGCGCAGCATAGTCCTTCTTCCCTTCTTCCGCATCAGTGGGATCGAAACAAAGATCAACAGCCCGGGTGACGTGCAGGTCGCAGTCGATGTTCTCGGCTTGCACCAGAGAGGCGTAAGAGGAGAGGGCGGCAGCTTCGAATGTGAGGAGCTGGTTGGCGATTTCGGGGCCATACTTTGCTGCTTCGGCGCGGTACCCAAAGATATTCCTGGGCTTGCAGTGCCCGCCTATTACTTTGTAAGTACGGGACCCCCTTGAGTAAAATTGACATGCACACCATTTCTCGCCGTCGCACTTCCACAAAACTGATCTGCCTCGAGCATCACAACCCTCACCTCTCTCCCTTCCCTCTCAGCCTCCTTGTACACTCTATAGGCCGTCATACAGCCAGTGAGGCCGCTGCCAATGATGATGATGTCGGCGGCAGAAGGGATGTCTGGCGTGGTGCGGGCATGTTGGAGGACAGGGTCGGGGGACGACAGCCAGAATGGCTCGGTACGGTTTGGGACAGGCAGGAGACGATCCTCGGTATTGGGATATCTTCTAGGTGGGGTCATAGTGCTGGGATGGGAACAAGGTGGATGGGAAAGAGGAGATACATATGTCAGTACGAGAGAGCGATAACGGAGACTCGGGTATCCGCGATGTCGGCAAATTACTTCGGCAGGTGGCCGAGATCCTTATCAGGGGTTTCAAGCGTCGGCTGAGACGTGGCTGCGAGAGATTGCACTATGGGGCCCATTGGCCCACCGCCCATATGTAGGGGGCGGAAGAGGGATCGGGAGATCGGTCATGATATACTCGGCAATCAGATATGTCTTATCTCTTGTTCTCATGGCTTGTATAGAATGCAACAGAGTACAAGAAGCGCCCATCGATCATCAGACGGACACCACCACAACCCGCGACCGGCATGTCCTCTTCTGCTGACAAAAAGGATGCCCACCTTACAGCCAACCTGCCTACGTTAAAGGCCAACATCACCACAGTCGGAGTCGAAGCTCCCCCGCCTCCGCCAGAGTCAAAATGGATGGCCATATATCGAAGTTCATTCTTCCAGATCTGTGTCGTTTCAGCCCTTGCTTTCTGTGGTGATTCCCGATGTCAAGGTCCTGGGGCTCTGATTAATCATGACTATAGGCCCGGCTATGGCGGACGCGATTAGTGGGCTGGGAGGGGGTGGCCAAGCCACCCCTTATACAGTCAGTGAGTGCTTCATGCTCAGTACTCGTAGTCGATATGCAAAATCTGACGACTATAAAGATGCCGCTACCTGCGCTTCATACTGCGCGGTCGCGTTGATCTCTCTCCTGGGCGGTCCTATTGCTTCTCGAATGGGTATCAAAGGCATGCTTATTGCTGGTGCTTCAACATTCGCCATCAACGGATCAGGTGAGCAGCCCTCGCGCCCTGTAATCGAACACTTGCTGATCAGCTATGCAGCATACTACGTCAACAGCATGTACGGTGTCCAGTGGTATCTCATCTTTGGTCGTTTCCTCTACGGCGCTGGTTTCGGGTTCTGGTACGTCGCCGAGGCTGCCATCATCTTATCGTACCCCGAAGAGGGTCGACGTGGAAAGTAGGTGATACTCCCGAACCTGTCCACGGCCCATGCTCATTGTTTACCACAGATACCTGGCCATCTGGGTCGGATCCCGAAATCTCGGTCAACTCGTCGGCGGCTCCATCTCCCTCGCCCGCAACGCCAAATCAGCCGCCGCCGGTGCCATCGCCACTTCTACCTACCTCATATTCATCGCCATCGAAGCTCTTGGTTTCCCCATCTCCTTCCTCATTTCTCCGCCTCACAAGGTCCGCCGCTCCGACGGCGTGCCCATCCTCATGGCTGCCAAACAACCTTGGAAAACCGAGTTTATCAATCTATACAAGGCGGTAATCTCGCCGATGATGGTGATGCTCATGCCTATCGCTTTCTACTCTTACTTTTACGGCGGCGTCCTCTCCACATACCTCACCAACTATTTCACTGTCCGAGCCCGTGCCCTCTCCTCTTTCATTGTTCCCTCCGGTATCATTGTCTTTACCGCCATTTTCGGCCGCTTCTTTCTTGACAACAAACGCTGGAGCCAGAGGCGGCGGGCGCAAGTAGGCTTCGCGGTGTTTATGGTGCCTTCATTCGCGGCTTTCGGGTGGTTGTGTGCAAACCAGGCGAGGTTCTTGAACATGGACACTGCACCAAAATACGATTGGTCGGATAAAGACTGGGCGAACGCATACGTGCCGTTCTACATCATGCAGGTCTGTGGGTATCTGTGTCAGACTGTGAGTCTCACTTCTCTCCATCTCGTATTTTGCTAATGAACTGCCAAGTACATTTACTGGCTCATATCCTGCTTCACCGCTTCTGTCTCTTCCAACGCTACCAACGGCGGTATCTTTCGCTGCGTCGAAGCCGTCGGTCAAGCTGTTTCTTACGGCATCAACTCGAACACAAACTCGAAGTTCATCCCGTTAGGCATCAACTTTGGGCTGGCAGGGTTCTGTGTAGTACCGACTGTGATGTTGATTCAGCAGGTGCCGGTGTGGAGGGAAGATGCTGAGATACAATGGGTAGGGAAGGATGGGAACGGAGATGTTGAAGGAGAAAAGGAAGAAGGGAAGGCGACCCAATCGGAGGCTTTGGACCTGGGAAAGTAAGTGTTGGCGTCTTCGCAAAGCAACGTACTGTACATTCTGTGGTTTGTATGTATAGCATCATGCAGGTTTTGTGATATCGGCAACAAGCAGAAATGCTACCGCCGCGCATTCATTGCCACGGCGACTGCTGTGATGTCACAAGCAAGTAATCTACTTGTGCTATACTCGTACTCGATTGCTGCAATAACCAGTGTGCAATGTGTAGGGCGTATGTAGGGCGTAGATGGCTTAGGCGGTAGGCACCCTACAGTATAATGGAAGACAACAGGGCCACCACGGTGCCTCCGCTCTGCTCTCGTTATGCGTGCGCGTGCGGTCACACCCAGGTCACACATTTCGTAATGAACACGCGTTCATCTCTTTCCCATCTTAATTTCACCTTTCCTCTATATTTGTGCAGTGTATCGGAATGGAGGCTACAACCACATCTCCTTCGTCGACGTCCACCGTCACCGGTGGCGCCATCTATATCCCCGACCAACTAACAAGTCTGACGGGTAAGTCGGTTTGGTCTTCTGTCTTGTAGAGGCTGCTGACACTTGCCTGACGAGGGATCATACACCGACATACCATCGACATAAATACATATTACCACTGTACCCCCTGCTCGTTATCCAGTTACTCTACCAGCACCTCCTTTTACGACATCAGCGACCTGATCGTTCACTTGACGAGAACAGAACATCTGTCCTCCTGCCCCCCCAAATTTCATCGAGATCGGGCAAATACTGTCGGCATAGGCATTGCCCAGGGACCAATGCTGAAGAAGCGCAAAGCCGTGGAGACTCCCCAAGAGATACTTCCAACAAAATATGTGTCATGGTTAAAGGAGTCATCTGTGTAATTAGTTCATCCAATAGATTAGTTGTGTGTTTGTGGACCGTGCTCTCCGTTGTTACACGTATCAGAGTCTTTTTCATAGTTTCTTCTTCTTCATATGCGACAACAACGAAAAGGTTTTTGCCCCTTACTACAAAACTCTCTTCAGCACGTCAAGGGCACTCCCCAGGCGTGACAATATGTGAAGAAGTCGTCAATCTTGACCGAGTTCATGGGACCTCCAAAATCTCCGTTGATTACTTTTGTCAGAATCAGCCACAGCCGGCGTTATGCGGGATTCGTAATTAAAATCAATACACGTTATTCTGCGCGTCGATAGCTTCTTCTCTTTCTTTGTCACTCTTTAACTGCATCATTGGCCGTAGCAAGTGTTTGGGTTAGTGCTTAGGAATCCTCAGGTATGCACTCTTTAACTGCATCATTGGCCGTAGCAAGTGTTTGGGTTAGTGCTTAGGAATCCTCAGACTCCCACAGGTTATGAGCCTCGGTGTTTAATTCCTGCACGCGAAACAAATTTCCCCATCCAGCCGCACGACAAGCCATATTAGCAATGGAGTCCAAACTCAACAACTACACGAACTACCGCCCGACCGGTCCGCCGTGCTCCTTCCACTCCGATCCTGGAGACCCCGCCAATCACTCCGAAACAGAGTGCCGGGTGCTAAGGAGAGTTCAGAAGTTGAAGTCCATCAACAAGCTCCCAGATGCTCTCTGCCAACCTATCCCTGACAGGAGCTGCCTCAGCGATGCTTCAGGCTACATGGCCAGTTGCACTCTCGGCTTTGCCACTCCAACTCCAATCGTCTCCCACACCTACATCGTAGACTCTGGCGCTACCGAGACTATGGTCAATCACCCTTCCCTTCTCACCAATGTTCAACCTCTCTCGCCTCCCCGTCACGTCAGAATGGGGAATGACGCCCGACTCCCTGCCCAAGGCAAAGGGACTCTTATCCTGAATGGGGTCGTCTTCAATGATGTCTGGGTGGTGCCCGGTCTGAACCAGAATCTGCTCTCCTGCCGTCGCCAACCTGCGGGCGGAGAGTGGGTTATCTCAAGCCAAGGAGCAATCCTCTTCAACGCTCATCGCCAACCACTCATGTCAACCAAGCTGTCTAATGGTGGCCCCTATGTCATCGAGAACAGTGACGCTTCTGCTTTGGCAGTGGAACAAGCTCCCAACCTTCTCTCAGAATGGCATCACCGACTAGGGCACATCAATGTGCAATCTGTCGCCAAGTTGGCCAGGAAAGGAGCGCTGGCGGGATTGGAAAAGGTTACTTCTGGGGAGATCCGTGGTTTTGCCTGTGACCTATGCACCCGTGGTAAAGGCGTCCGTCTACCCTCACCTCCTCGAGCAGAGAGAGAAAGTGAGGCACTCAACTTGGTGCACATTGATCTCTGGGGACCGGCATCTACCACTTCCATACATGGCAACCGATACTTTCTGACCTGCTATGACGACTTCACTCGAAAAATCGATCTCACTTTCCTTCGTGAGAAATCACAAGCATTCAAGGCTATGAAGAACTACATCGCCAAGGTGGAACGTCAAGTGGGCCGTCCAGTGAAGAAGATCAGGTCGGACAATGGAGGGGAGTTTGTGTCCAGAGAATGGGAGGAGTACATGCTCAGCAGAGGGATCGAGCACATCCGGGTGCCACCGGGAGCGCATGCTCAAAACGGCCGCGTGGAGCGCGTCCATCTTACCATCCTCAATCTTGT